ATGGGTCCTGGTCGTAGGATATACATGTTTGTTTACATGGGAGTCATTGTTTACACCTGCTTCTTGTGTTTATTTGCAGTAAGTACGATTTTCATTTTAATTAATTAAACAAAGATATGAAATAGATTCCTACAGTAGTACAGTCTTTCATTTCATTTCATCACATTTTTTATAATTCTTAATCTATCATAACTATGGAAACAAGTGTAATAACAATAATTGCAATATTCTTAGGTAAAAAAGCAAAATTTCTTGGAAATACTAGCGTTTCTATTACAAAATTTTGGCTTTGTTGCGTATGGATTAATACAAGGTTAGTGTATTAGCAARTCATTTCAWTTYATTGGMATGAGAAGAAAATATTATTATCAMGTGACAAAACATTGCTTAGCTTGCATAACAGTTCTAGGGGATGGGGTGAAGGGGGGAAACKAAAGGGAAGCAGGCTGCTCGGTGAGCACAGTGATTTCCAGAAAATCCACWCTTTTGATAACAGACATTTATAAAACTGCTGGAAACAGATGCACTGGTCTGGGTTAGCCTGCGTATTTTCCTCCCCACTCCCCGCTCGGCCGGCCCTCCCCAATCCCCTTAGGGCCGCTACGCAGGCTAGTCTGGGTTGTTCAAGGCTTGATTAGTGTTAATCCAGTGCTAAGGTTTTTTAAAAGTTAAACTGGGATAATTAGYACTAATTGAGCTTTACACAACCYGACACTGCTGATTGAGGATCACCATTACATGATGTAATGATCATTCAGGATTATTGTTTCTCTTGTTTAGTATGGTATGCTAGTTATTATAATTATTAATTTTTCTTTATTTGAGTGTTGATATTCAAATTTTGATGTTAGTTTATCATGTGGGATACAAGAAACTGCCATTAAGGGAGGGTAATGTCACCATGGAGCACAATCCACTGTTGCGTAACATTGCACTATCAAATGTAAGTAATGCATGGTAATGTAACATTAATTCTTTGTGTGTGTGTTGCTCTCATCTCTGGCCCTAATCTGAACCACACTTTATGGTCTGTATTTAAAAGAGATTAACTGGAAATAAAAAGAGAAATTTGTTGTTGTTCCTAAATCAGCAATATTGTTTTATTATGAATATATGATTGATAAATTATAAATAATATATATCATTTTGATTTATGCAGTCTTTGACGCTGTTTATTCTCAATGGAGTATTTATATTCTTGTCCTGGAAGCTGTACACTGAATTTGGTTGGAAAATTTACAAAAGAGTTCGTTTCAACCTGTCACTAAGATGTAAGTAATCTTTTTGTGGTTCATTTACGTGATGCCAGAGAACCACTATGCCTTATAACACGTACTGTAGTTTGTCCGTACCAATCCGATGTTTCACTACAAAAAAAAATCGTCACTCACGGTAAAATACAATAGTTTGTGTCCAAAAGATAAATGCAGTAAAATCCTACGTTGATCACTTTTGATCCAAGGTATTTTACAACTTGTATTGAATTTTCTTTCAGCAATATATCATTTCTACCAGCTTCTATCATGTCTTCTCAAGATGGCCATCATGTATTGGGTAATACTGGCATCACTTTTTTTTTGTTTTCGTCTCTTCATTTCGGTCTCCATCTCCATCTTTATCATAGTTGGTCGGACTCTCTACTCTTCACTTCTGTCTTTCTGTTTGTCTGTCTGTCTGCTTGTTACATGGCCTCTGCTTGATTCTTCAGAGATCATAGAATTGTTTCCAAAATTTTCGTTTTGATATCATTTCGTTCTCCCTTTCTTTCTTTCTTGGTCGCTTATTTTTTTCAATTTCTTTCGTTTCAGTGGATGTACGCCATATGCAACAGTTTTGTTCTTCTAAGGGATTACCAGTCTGTCATGTACTACATCAACTTAGCTTTTGTGCCAACCTCGATATTATATGCATGTTTGGGATACTTCGCGGTGAGTATCCGGTCATTTCGCAGACTAGTTTGTATCCCGCGAGGGATCGTGACGTAATTTTGACGTTCGTGCGCTTTTTGTCACGTGCTTGTAGTTTTTTTCTTATCGTCTTCATTTTTTCATCAATATATTTATGAATTGATAAAATATGATAAATATACATGAAATAATGGAAATTAAGCTAGCGAGTGGGCTGTCTGTGATAAAATCTTGGTTAGTCAGGATGGAAGGGCGTCTGTTTTTGTTTGTTTAATTTCTTTCTTTTTCTTCTTTTTAGACTCAAAGAGAAATCAAAACGTTGATGACGATATTTATATTGTGGACTTTAGGTTTAATAGGATACTTTCTCTATAAGTTGTACGGGTAAGTCCTACTGATTAATTGCGTTTGCGATTTCCAGTTAAAAGTATTTATTCAATGAAAAAGACGTTCCGGCAGAATTGAATACGGTAGATAAGATTAAGAACAGTATTGTGAATAGGGTTTAACCTCACGCATTTTTAAACTCATATTTTAACTAGAGTGCAAACACTTGAGCGTGAAAAAGTACTTACTAGAGCGGATTTCGTATGAGTGGGAAACAGGGTACTGTACTGTGACCGTAATCGTACTGTAACCAAATTCTAGTGCCGGATTGGTTCACCAAAATTGTGCAGGCCAGGTCCGGTAACTGTGCGGTAACCGTGCGGTAACGGTGTCCCACTCATACGAAATCCGCTCTAAATAGTGCTGAATAGCGCAAGGTAATGTAGATTCGACAATAGAAAACAAAGGACCGTGTATAAATAAGTCCAATTTATCACTGACTTATGTTCCAACGAATTTTATGATTTTAGTGTTTGCACTCATTAAAATGAAATTTGGCGCAACCACAATGAACTTACGTAGAGGCTTTTCTGTTCCACTAGGCGAGTGGAATCGATATATAAATATAGAGAACAGGGAGGCTAATAACCACAAGATGTTGAAATTTAAAGAAAGTAAAAGGACTACCTCCAATAAGCAAACCTGAGAGTGTAATAATACATAGATGATATTGTATGTTCTTTTTGCTCAGGTTCTTAACTGATAGTTGTAATGGTTGCCAGGAATTTCATAAAACAGGAAAAGACATTCACGACGAGGCCATGCTTCATTTTATTTATCTTGGTAAGTGTTATAAAGACCGACTTCAAGTATAAGTTATACAGCACAACTATGGCTTGCTAACAATCATGCACGGAACGTGCCTGAAAAAGGAAAAAGATATTTGTATCTCACTTAACCCCTCTTTATTGTGATTGTTTTTATTTGTGTTTGGTTCCTATATAGTATTCAGTAGTATCACATTTACTTACGCATTCCGGCCGGTTTTTTGAGAATCACGATGTAAATTCTATTTGTCAATGCAAATTCTTTTATGAAACCTTTAAGAATACTCTAGAGCAGTCAACTTGTTCTTTTTTATGCGTTTGGTCCACAAAAATAATTATTAGGGTAATGTATATTCTAGCGTTTTGTTTTGGCGTTTTTGAGTTTTATCCGAAAACGAGAGCAAACAAGAAGATCGCTCGAAGATAAACAGCGCCCTCGATTTGATTGTAATTACCATAGTTTATGTAATTACTCAAGGTCTGTTGAATGTAGTATTTACACATAAATACTGTTTTGCTTACAGGTACTCTTAACTTGCTTCTACTAATCGCCATACTTGGTGTCTCCTGTAAAGTGTTCTCTAATTTTGGAAGGGGTCTCGCACAGCATTGTGAGTAATATAATTAGTAGCCATCACGGTACTACCGTAGAGATGCCGCCATAGATGTCAAATATACGCGCGCGCCTTAAAAGTCCACGAGTATCCATGAGTCTTTGCGATCGTTTCTTTTGTTTTGCAAGGATTTCTTGTTGAAAGGTGCTTTGATTGGTTCATAATCAAAGATGGCAAATTCTCCTATTTGAGAAAGGCTCTTGTATGCACAATATGGCCTTTAATTTCTTGTCGTGCTTCGTTGTTAATGTTGTTGTTGTTGTTGTCTTGTTGTCTTGTCACAACAAAGTATTGCAAATCACTTTGTTATTTTTTTGTGTGTGGCGAAACATTGATGGTTGTAGTCCACATTTAAGGGCGTTAAGAGACATAATTGGATTGCGGAAACCTAATATATATGCAGGAATATTTTCAGTATCTGTAATGCCCAAGCGAAAAATTGTCAATTATTTATGTCCAAGATTGCAATTGTAACGCTTGGTTAAGAATATAACCAAGTGTCATCCTTTTTGTAGTCAAGCCGGATTTGGATAGCAGAAGACCTCGCGCGGGAACGGATCTTTATCTTCGTCGMATAAGCCACTACTTTGAAGAAAGCGTYGTSTCAGCTACATCATGYGACAGYGATGARCTTCARGAAAGCATGAAACTTGGTTACCAAGGTGTATTAGTCACATMTGGAGTACCATTATTAACGAACAGCAATCGAGTACTTGCATCTAGCATGCCTAACCTATTTGAACCAGAACCAAGAGCATTCACTTTCCCAGGCGTGAAAGAGAGAAATGAGGCACCGGTGAGCACTCTTAACTCAGTCCGATGTCAACTTGGTGTTATCGATGAAGACGATGATTTGAAGAAAGTTGAAGTGGGCACAATAGCCCCGCGAAAAACTAGTAAACCTTTAAAGCAGAATGACGCCAAGGGAACAAGGAATAAAAAGAATGAAATTGAAAAAAATGGGATAAATGAACGGAGTGCTTCGTGTCCTCTCAAACAATTGACAGTTAGTGGAAGTAGCAAGGACTCGAGAASCAGAGTCGGTATTGATGATGTTGGTGACGATGATGTGTTTATTGATCGAAGTGACGGCGAGCAGGCCTCGCGCGATTCCGGATTCATGGATAGTCTTCCGAAGTCACAAAACGATGCTCAAACGAAGTTAAAAACTCGTAAAAAAACTATAATATCATCAAAAGACACTTCAAACGGCGTTCAAATGAATGGAAGAGAAGAAAAAGTYGATGACCAGAGGCGAACTAATGRTGTTAAAGCACAGATAAGCTTATTTAATGGTGAAATCAGCTCATGACAAAGGGTTATCTCGATCTGATCTGGCGATTTACTTTTTTTGTTATTGTTATGATGAACACACACTCGACACATACTGTCCGCGAAGGGCAACGATTGCAGATAAGATAGCGTTGACRCGAGGTTCTCAATGTCCAGTGATGACCAATCATGTGGATTACATCAAAATTTGGTACCAGATTGAAAGTAGAACCTTTACCGTGCTAGCTTTAGAGCCTCTTCCAGATCCAGTGGCGTGGAACRTGTCTTTATAGAACCCTGCCTCTCATTTCAAACGGTGCATTCATGACTAGTGTTGCTTAAGTTGTTGACGATTAATTTGTACCAATTTGAATACGTTGCTGAGTGCTCCTGCTTTCTCGTCTACTTGCATTAGTTTTTCCACGATTACCCAATTTATAAACCGAATTCCAACACTCTCGATTCAATTGTAAATTACTCAAATCATTTCTTTGTGCTCCCTTGTTTCGTTCTCTTTGAATTCGTCACGTGTAAAATTCGACGTATGAACGCTGTACTGGCTACAGCGAGTGGAAGCAGTAATACGTCTGTAGATAAAGGAATTTATTGACATTTTACCATTATTGTGGCCTACTCCCCAGTCTCCTTTCAGTGAATCCTGATCCAAGATGGCGGACGCCCGTGATGCAGAGGTGACTCCGGGAGAGGCAAGTGAAAAGCGACGTCACGCCGAACGTAAACGACTGAGAGTAGCCTGGGGACGAGGCAAACAATACTCATATACAACCCTATTGCCAATAAGAACGTCATCTTGGATTCTATTATTATTTCCAGTATCGACTCAGTGGGTTACCCAACAAGAAATAATACCATAAGCTTCAATAAGGGTTCGTGCTACTCCTTGAATAGTCCTTGAAAATCGCTTTTTTAGCCTAAAAAGTACTTGAAAAGGCCTGGAATTTAGTGATGAAAATGTAGAAAAAAACCCTGTTCAATAATGCAGCATAAAATGAAAAAAATATCACACCGTATGACGTTTTGAAGACAATTCAATATTTTACATGTTTTCGTCTCTTGGACATGCCATGATTGCTTCATATTAAATTCAAGATGGCTAACATCTAAGTGATAAGTATGTATGTCATGCATTATCCAACATTTCAATATGAAGTTGAGCGATATGATAATTTAACACTTTATCAAGGGGTTTAAAAAGGTCTATCACTTCTCGCTGCCTAAATTTACCAACGGATTGTATACAGTATTCTCAAAACACCGAAATGTTTGAAACAGTTTTCATTCAGTGATATTGTATGTTCAAAAGAAAATCCATTATAAGTTTATTAAAAAAGATTGATTCTAGAATTGGTTCAATTTCCTGAAAGTACATTAGTTTGATTTCCCCTTGTCATTTCCTTTCATTTCGACTCTATACCCTTCCACGTGTTATCCATTTCCTTCCATGGCTTTTTTTAGCGTATAATTCGAACCTCTATCTCCTTATAAGTCGAACGTCTATCTATTAACCGGTCACCTTGGGGAAAGACCAGTTGGCCGCTTAATAGGGGTTGAACGTTTAAGAGAGGTCACGTTTACAGTAGATATGCAGTAGATATATGAAAATAGAATTTGTGGGATTCGTGTCTACTGTGGACACTACTCTAATGTAGTACAGTGATCGTTTTCCGATTTTTCTTTGACTGGGCATTGGCTGAAATGTAGCCTTCTCTGATTGGTCAGTGAAATAAACCAATCCGGGATTCTAGTTTAATAGTTCCGTGTTGAATATGTAATTTTGGTGAAGTTACAATCTACCAAACACTGTCAATAAGATATATCAATGTGGTTATCGTTTATTTAGTACAACTAAAACTACTTTTTAGATTATTGTATAAAGTATACTTCTCGGGTAGCACTTGGGTAGTTAAAAAAAAGACACTGTTCAGGCACACTTTTTTAATTTTTCATTTCAATCAAATATTGCATTAAACGGTTAAGATTGTGGCGCCCATTGTCTTAAAACGATCAACGATCAACCTTAAAGAAATTGCATCCCAAAGGCGGTTTAATTTGTTTTAAATAAAGTCGTCAACCCCGCATGCCGCCATAGGAGTTGCATTTGGTGAAATCACACAATGAAACGTGTGAATTATTTTCTACCTTTGGCTTAGTACTTATTTACATCGCCTTTATT